TTTATCGGATACTGAAGACATCATTATGTAATACCTGCCAGTCGATTGGCGGATTGCTATGGCAGAAAGCAGATGGTTTGACAATGACTATCTACATAACTATGGAAGATACTATTTCGGAGACACCAAAAAACGGAGTTTCGGTGGGATTTTAGAGTACATATTCTTTATGGAGAGTGAAATAGGTGTTATTAACGTTGACCATAATGTAGCGACTATAGTATAGATAAGCCTCGCCTAGTGTTCTAGTTCACTAGTTAGTAGCCGCTCCTAAGCCGGGATAAAGAGGGCAAGTTGTGCATAAGACTTGCAACCCTACACCGTAAAACCATTCCAATCTCTAAAGAAACTTCAAAGCACGAAAAAAATTAGAGTAAACTTACTCCTTGCTGGAATCAGGGCGAAAAAATGACACCGGTTGGTAAAAGACTTCGGGAAGCCATTTGGCTAACGTGTCTTCTCTCGGTAGATGAAAGTGAAAGTAAACATGAGGACATGGAATGTCTGCACCATGTTTGAAGCTGGCTGGCTGGTAAGGCTGCCCACACTGCCAAACAAGTAAGAAGATATGGCATAAAAGTGCTAGGAATCTGCGAAAGTAGATGGAATGGAAATGGACTCTCTCAACTGTCAACTGATATTGTCACCCAGACGACAACTACTAGCACACTGAGCTTTGGAGTGGCTATCATGATGTCCCCTTCAAGTGCATCGAAGGCTGTCATGTAGTGGGAACCAATCTCCTCCTCCAGGATCATGACAACAAGGTTCAACTCAAAGGGAAGAAAGTTACAATCATTCAATTCTATTCTACGCACCTACAAATAATGCAGATCGAGAGAAGAAGGAGGAATTCTTCAGGCAACTGCAATTGGGAGTGGACAAGACCTCAGTTTGCGACATCAAAATTATAACGGGAAGAGAACTGATGATGGTTGGAGAGGCACTTGGTGAAATGAATGAGAACGTAGAACTGTCTCGAGATTTCTACGTATTTAATGATTTGGTGATTGGAGGCAGTGTGTACAAACACAAGGATATTCACAAAGCGAGCGACATAGATTTCACCAGATGATATGGAGGAGATCGTGTGAAGAAGAAATGAAAGCTTTTGGTCAGCCGTGGAGCCAGGTTAGAAAGACCGGAGAGAAGAGAGTGAAATGGCGACGTGCTACTGAAGCCTATGTTCCACTAGGAAGCCAAAGGACTAATAATAATAATAATAACAATAATAGTACAGATAAGATCTGAGTATTAATAAACATGGGTGTAAATTGTGAGTTGTGTAGCGAAAAATTTAAAAAACTGAATGTGGACTTAGGTAATTTTTGAAAGCTAGGTATTTTACATTCGATCGTGACGAGAACAGCCAATCGTTTTTCCTAGAAAATTGGTTCTCTTAGGGTAGGTGGTTTGTGCTTTTGCTTGCGATGCTACAACTATTTTAACGTCACAACTGGTGGATTTTAACCGTGTTATAGTTAACCTAGATTCCCTGACTACTTGGTTGTCGGTCAGAAATACTTTTGTACGAGTCACTGTATAGAAACAAGCGTACTCAAGACAGATTCATGGCTCTGCATCGAATAAAAATCCTCACGGGATTACACTTGGAGACCTATTGTCGTTGACAGCATTTGACGTTACTGTATCGGATGACTAAAGTGGAGAACGGGTAGATTCTATAAAGCGATTTATCGATACGAGGTTCATGAATCGAGTGCTTTGAGAACTCAGCAACGTACCTTCTATATTGGTATTGTTGTCTTCTATGTTAATATCATCTGTGGATATTAGGTCTAAACAAAGTGAGGGTGTGCAGTCATAATTTGTCATGCTCACTGATGCATTTATAGGAATCTTAATGGTAACTGGAGGAGACATGATGATGGCTGAAACTTAAGTCAGCTTCACATCTTTCTGAATTATGATCATTGAAGGTAGATGACATGAGAAGATTTCATTTATCCGAAAACTGTTAACTTCGTGACGTAAACCATATTTCTTCCTGTCAACACATCAGTAACATGAGAGTCAAGCGTAAAGTTTTAGGGGGATAAGGAAAGTAAGAGGGTAATGGTTTTCAACCCTCATTGACTTAGGTGGCTGGAAGATTTTTTACGCATACCAACTGCCTCGCCTCATTGTTAAGTGAATCAGGTTGATGTTGCGAAAGCTTTAGAGGCGGTTGAATATAGCTTGAGTTCTTATAGCCTTTGGCTGTATGTCTGAGACATATAGAAGGATGTGGAGTTATCATTTTGGGGTCGGCATAATAACAGAGGTCAGTGGCTGTAGATTCTAGATGATATAGCCTAGAATCAATTTGAATGGCGCAGACGTATCCATATATTATCTTAATCTTTATCATTATACATAATTTCATTGTTGTTTAATCCCTCCTTGTTCCCTTACCATGACTTTCTAGCTTTTTGGCTGCTTTCTTGCTTACTTCTAGTTCTTTCACCTTGATGTATTCTCACCTAATGCACTGACTTCAGGTGTAGTAACTCGGTAATGGTAGGTATCATGTTGTTTTAATCTCTATCACTCTGTCTTAACTTCGTAAGAGCTATGAAAATGAACCACATACGTCAAGAAATAAGTATATACCATTGACAACGTTCTAGAATGCATAAGATAATAACTGTAACTATGTGATGAAATGAAATTACTGCAGAAAAGAGTAAAATTAATTCATGAACGTGTGAGGTGTTTCATAATCCCCTAAAAAATCAATACACTTTCTATAAAGATGTTTCTGATATCAGAGCTTTCGGCTATATCCAAGTCTGAGTCATTTTTGCAAGCTGTAAACTAAAACAGTATATATAATGGTTGATGATTGAAGGTGAAATAAAAATTTAGGCTGAGGCAAAATTTAAACCAATGAACTGCTTGTTTCTAACCCGATATCCTACCAACTGGGTATCATAAATTATTTTGTAAACTACAACCGGGCTGGAAACCAGGGGATCGTTAGCTTGAATACTTCAGCAATCCACGTTTTCATTTCATCTTCAGTTGTTATCACATAGTTTTAGTACAACTTTGTCAAAAGAAGACTATCTTAGAACGTCAAACTGGAAATAAATGTGTGTTCCTTTCATTCTACAAATTTACTTCTTATTTCAACTTAGGCGTATCTTTTTACGTTAGTATAATAACGAAATATTACTATTTGTCCCTTAGGGTTCTACTGGAACGAAGGGTTTCACCAGCACAGCATCATTTCATTCCCGTCTCTTCAGTCTTCTCAACCTGACTCCACCACTGTCCATAAACGTTCGTTCTTTATTCACACCACCTCATCCATGTCACCCTCCCTTACCCAAGCCATCCACTCCCATTTCCATCCCACACGACGGCTACCCATACCGTATTCTCTGTCTATCTACAATACAATCCCATCCAATCCAATCCATCTACACCTCATTCTTCTTCACCACATTTGTTGGACAATAGATTCTTGCTTCCTTGCTTGGTTGATTCGTTGCAAGGCCACACTTCTTCCCTGCTTATTCTTCTTCCACTCCCCTCCTCTCCCCTCCCCTCCCCTTCTCATCTCATCTCATCTCATCTGATCTTCAGTATCGAGTGAGCGTAGGCGGCAGCTATTCATATATGTCTGCAGTTTGTTCGAAGGAAATGCTTCTCGTGAGGCGCCAACTCTCTCAACCATCACACCACAAACACTGAATTGACTGACATCACTGTTGAAAATCCTCATCTTCTTCTTTATGCTGAGTGCAATGGAGTTCAGTGCAGTGCAGTGCAGTGAAGTGAAGTGCAGTGCAGTAGATCTCCACACTCATCTCCACAGATTATTCAACGATTGTCTCCTTGTCTTGCCGATCCTTGCTTTCACATCCTCATCTGTGCCGCCTACACCGCCTGTAGATGAGACGATGTTACCTGTGTAGGTGAGTAGTTGAAAGAGACAACTCGCTTCACATTTCTCCCCTTCATGGTCATTCGTGCTTCTTGTTCCTAATACTGTTGCTGTTGCTATTGATGTTGCTGTTGCTGTTGCTGTGTATCTTCATCACCTCTGTCTTCTCAATCTTCACCTGAAGGAAATCCTGTCTTCCATACTGTGCATCTTCCACTTTCTCCAACACTAGACATAAATCATCGTCGGCGAATCTCATATTTTATAGGATTTTTTAGTCGGTCAAGTAGCGTCTGCCTATCTTCTCAGTCCTCACAGTATCTTGCATCATTCAGTCTAGTCCAGTCCAGTCGACCACAATCACGAAGATTATCGGTGATAGTATGCGACAGCCTTGTCTTACCTGTCAACTTGTCTTCACTTGGAAGGCATTAATGAGCTTTCCATAGTCAATCACTTCTCATGTAGCATCATCATCATCACATAGGTGTTGATTGAGTTTGATAATGGTTTGTGTCACCTAAACTATAGTGTTTAAGCATCTGCTTGTCAAATTACTTCTCGACCGACGCTACCGAAGGTCTTTTCAAAATTGATGAAGTTGAGATAAGGAGTTGACTGCCATTCTATACTCTGTTCTATGATGATGCGTAGCGTAGTGCTGCAATTTGATCGGCATATGATTTGTTTTTCGTGAAGCCAGACTCTTACGGTAGTAATTTGGAATGCATACGATTCTTTAGTCTCTCCAGGATGATGCGGCCCGATATTCTGCTTGGTGTGGACAGCAGCATGATTTCGCACCAATTTACTAGTTCATTAGTTTGCTAGCTATTCCTAATCCCAGAAAAGAGGTAAGATCGGTGGGGAGGCTAGCTACCCTACCCGAAAAATCAATCCAATCGTTAGGGAAACTTCAAAGCATAGAGGCATGATGACAGTTTACGTTACCAAAATATGACACAATATGAAAGCGTATTCTGCCTGTTTTTCCAGAAATATGTTTCATTTATTTCTTATGTTCTTTAAAAGAATATAAACGGGTTCAGTTTAACAGGAAATTCTATTTTGTATGTTTACAAATTAAAGAATATCAGTATACAAGTGTTCATGTCATGAAATACGAAGCTGTTGCAAATTTTACAATTTTATAACACATTAGATAATTCAATGTATCACATCTTGCATAGGTGATTTCAACTTGACTTCTGTTACCGAATGACCACACAACACCATATTTAATCGGTGAATTAGAAGTCCACTCGTTACATCCAAAACTAACACCATCTCCAAGCCAAAATGTTCTACGATATAAACAAGAGAAGTGAAATAATTCTTAGCATCGAATACCTGTAGAATACGGTTACCTTGTTAAAACTTAATATTCTACTCCTCTATTTTAAAAACAAAACGTTTGTAATTATCCTTTTTGTGTACTGATAGCCTAATTAATCCTAGTCGACTACTTCGACCCACCTATTTAACCTCTCCACTTTGTGACATGGGTAGTAAGATTTTCCATACATCCGCAATAGCTGCTTAGTCACTCCTGCTGCTGCTAGTGCTAGATGCTGACTCAATGAACAAAGATACAGCTCTCCATCTCTCCTTCCACCCCGTTATGTTAATTCTAGGGATTTTCCAATGTCCCATCCTATTGTTGCCATTCTCACATTCTACACTCTCTTCTATGATGTTGCGTAGCGTAGTGCTGCAATTTGTTCGGCTCATGATTTGTTTTTTGTGAAACTCGACTGGACTGTTCTGGTCGTAATTTTGAATCCGGAAATTCTTTTTATTCTCTCCAAGATGATACGGCATAATATTTTGCTTGGTGTTGACAGGCGCATCTTCCCTCACCAGTTCTTGCGAAGACTTAGGTCACCTCCTTCTTAAGGAGTTTGACAAGGTAGCTCTACTTCCACTCACCAGGTACCTAGAATACATCATGCATGATATAATAATGATAATAATACGTATGACATGAATGTTTGTTAAAAAGTTGACAGTCGTCTAAATATTTTCTACTATACACCAAAGATTCAATCTTCATTTGTGTCAGAACACTCTTATCAGCGATTGTTTTCAGTTCTACTCCATGATGTTCTTGTTTATTCACTCCTCGAATATGCTAAACAAATGAATAGTTAGGAAGAAAGATTACTAGAACTTTTACATGTTTATCACTGTCGACACTGAACCGACCAGAAATTATGATTTCACTATTACTATTTATTGGCATATGTATTATTCTCCGTTGTTTTGTTGGATCGAATTATTCGATGTCTATTGGCATATGGGCTCCTATGCAGATGCCTCGATATTGCCTGAATGTTAATTATGATAATTTGGTTGGTTGTGTCTAGCAGAAGAATAGTAATAACTATCAACCGCTGAACACGAGTTGGCTATCATTCTTCTGTGGCATAGTGGATAACGCCTTGGCGATGTGTTCATACTCTTTATTAATCCACCTTGAGTCTATTCGAATGGAATCAATGAATCAGGGACATTAAAGGATGTTTAAACATTTCATAATGATTTTGAGTTTATAAATATTCAAAACAGGTTGCAACATGTTAGTTTAAAAACTTCTAGGCATTGAGTAAATGATACTCATTATTTTGGTATTTTGTATTTGCTAATGAATGTAATACAAAATAAAATTGTTTCCACTGACATTTCATTATTAGTACGAACACCTTTATCAAATTTATAAGTAGTAAATCGAAATTTACAATATTCAAACTTATAGAAGATAACCTATTGAGTTGATCATCTGTAAGTGTAGATGATTGATGAATGAAAGAAATTCCATTGTCTATTCAAATAATTGATATATGGTTGAAAAATTTACCGCTTGTTAGTTGGCATGGTTGACTATGCATTACCTTTATCACGTAATAGAGTAAAGCAGGCTGTAAAGTTTCTTAGTACAATAGTGGAATCATGATAATTTGGTTGGTTGTGGCTAGCAGAAGAATCCAGTAGGTGCATTTCGTCCTATTTGGGAGTCACTGGTCAGCTGGATGGTACCTGCACCTCAGTGAGTAGTGATGTTGTTCCCACTGAGACTCGAACCTCTTACACATCGCCAAGGCGTTATCCACTATGCCACAGAAGAATGATAGCCAACTCGTGTTCAGCGGTTGATAGTTATTACTATTCTTCTGCTAGACACAACCAACCAAATTATCATAATTAACATTCAGGCAATATCGAGGCATCTGCATAGGAGCCCATATGCCAATAGACATCGAATAATTCGATCCAACAAAACAACGGAGAATAATACATATGCCAATAAATAGTAATAGTGAAATCATAATTTCTGGTCGGTTCAGTGTCGACAGTGATAAACATGTAAAAGTTCTAGTAATCTTTCTTCCTAACTATTCATTTGTTTAGCATATTCGAGGAGTGAATAAACAAGAACATCATGGAGTAGAACTGAAAACAATCGCTGATAAGAGTGTTCTGACACAAATGAAGATTGAATCTTTGGTGTATAGTAGAAAATATTTAGACGACTGTCAACTTTTTAACAAACATTCATGTCATACGTATTATTATCATTATTATATCATGCATGATGTATTCTAGGTACCTGGTGAGTGGAAGTAGAGCTACCTTGTCAAACTCCTTAAGAAGGAGGTGACCTAAGTCTTCGCAAGAACTGGTGAGGGAAGATGCGCCTGTCAACACCAAGCAAAATATTATGCCGTATCATCTTGGAGAGAATAAAAAGAATTTCCGGATTCAAATTACGACCAGAACAGTCCAGTCGAGTTTCACAAAAAACAAATCATGAGCCGAACAAATTGCAGCACTACGCTACGCAACATCATAGAAGAGGGTGTAGAATGTGAGAATGGCAACAATAGGATGGGACATTGGAAAATCCCTAGAATTAACATAACGGGGTGGAAGGAGAGATGGAGAGCTGTATCTTTGTTCATTGAGTCAGCACCTAGCACTAGCAGCAGCAGGAGTGACTAAGCAGCTATTGCGGATGTATGGAAAATCTTACTACCCATGTCACAAAGTGGAGAGGAAATTTCGACCATGCAAAGGATAACTCAAAGTTGTGTAGTTATCATGATATGACTATGCACAATATATTGTATCCGAAACATAATCCAGTAAACAATACTGTTTATTCACTGTGTGATAAATCTGATAAATCAATAAAAATAAAAGTTCTGCCTCTGTGCACTAGTTCCACTCTTATATTAATTTCACGATGAAGTCTGGTCTCGGCTTCTTTCAGGGAAATAATCAAAATCTACATTATCTCAGATACATGTAACAGGTCAAACATCCTATTATTCATCTCATTATTCGATCGTGACTGAACTATGCTTATTTTTCATTAGGGTTATTATTCATTCACACCATATTACGTTGACATATACGATGCAGGAATGTAAGCGTGTGTTGTATTTCAGACATCGGTTACTACTAAATAATAGAACTACTTTGTGTGATACTTGTCAATGCATGAAGAATATTTAGGTATATAACATGAAATTTATGTCATTCTTCTACGTGCATAAAAACGAAGTGAACTGAAGCTGATAAGACTAGGGTTTATCTCATTTCTCTGTTTCGGGAACGCCCTGAAAGAAAATATATCATTATCACTTGTCGCTTGAGTTCGTAGTGGAATATAGAGCTTTAATAGCACTGCGTCAGTTCACTCCCATCTCTCCAGTCTTCTAAACCTGGCTCCACGACTACCCATACACTTCCATTACTTACTCACACCATCTCATCCATGTCATCCTCCCTTACCCAAGCCATCCATTCCCATTTCCATCCCACACGACGGCTACCCACACCGTATTCTCTGTCTATCTACAATACAATCCCATCCAATCCAATCCATCTCCACCTCATTCTTCTTCACCACATTTGTTGGACAATAGATTCTTGCTTCCTTGCTTGATTGATTCGTTGCAAGGCCACACTTCTTCCCTGCTTATTCTTCTTCCACTCCCCTCCTCTCCCCTCCCCTCCCCTTCTCATCTCATCTCATCTCATCCCTTCTCATCTGATCTTCAGTATCGAGTGAGCGTAGGCGGCAGCTATTCATATATGTCTGCAGTTTGTTCGAAATAAATGCTTCTCGTGAGGCGCCAACTCTCTCAACCATCATACCACAAACACTGAATTGACTGACATCACTGTTGAAAATCCTCATCTTCTTCTTTATGCTGAGTGCAATGGAGTTCAGTGCAGTGCAGTGCAGTGAAGTGAAGTGCAGTGCAGTAGATCTCCACACTCATCTCCACAGATTATTCAACGATTGTCTCCTTGTCTTGCCGATCCTTGCTTTCACATCCTCATCTGTGCCGCCTACACCGCCTGTAGATGAGACGATGTTACCTGGTAGGTGAGTAGTTGAAAGAGACAACTCGCTTCACATTTCTCCCCTTCATGGTCATTCGTGCTTCTTGTTCCTAATACTGTTGCTGTTGCTATTGATGTTGCTGTTGCTGTTGCTGTGTATCTTCATCACCTCTGTCTTCTCAATCTTCACCTGAAGGAAATCGCATCTTCCTTCACCGCTTTACCTCTTCTCTTCTCTTCTCTTCTCCGAACTTGTCAATTTTGGCTTGTACATCTTTCAGTTCGTGTGACATAAGTCATTAGACATAGGACATAAATCATCATTGGCGAAATCTATATCTTCTAGGGGTGTTTTCATCAGTCAAATAGTGTCTGGCCATCTTCTCGCTCCTCACAGTTTCTTGCATCATCCAGTCCTTGAATTTCCTAGGAACTGAAAGCTTTTATTCCTGGGCTTCATCTCCCCTGCATTTTGTTTCATTTGGAATGCGAATTGTTAGTGATGTGTTGAAATAATTTAGACTTTATGAGTTATATATAAACTTTTTAATGAACAGACTGGTGAGGATGTATAGTGGCTATCAGTGGAATCCAAGATGACCATTTCTTTCTATATGTGAATCACCAGTCAGCTGGATATGACGCTCTCCCAGTGAGTAATGTTATATAAAAAGCACTAACATTTAGCAGCTGACTGATCGGAAAACAGATATATTTAAATACAATATATGACTCACTTGTTATGATGATGAATGTCAGGCATACCGTTTAAATCGTATAATGGTGCATTCGTATTGGAACGAACACCATACAAGAAATCTCTCCATTTGGGAAGTATTACTTGATTCTATATTAGTATGACGAGTAAAGATAAATGAGATGTAATCACTGACATGAATGAAAATAAAGCTGATTACTGACTGAAATCATGGGTGTAAAATAATAGTTTTCCTTTCAGAAGGAAACCACTTCATTATCGTATGAAAAAATCGCTGGCTGAACTTTTTTAAACTACTTTTTCCTTTTAAGAAGAGATAAAGTTGATGAAAGTTTTCAAATGAAAAGTCATAGAATAGTGTAGTTGTATTTTTGTAAGTAAACATAGACGTTGGATGTTATGTAAGCGAAAACCATGTTTAAAATTTAGCACAATCAGTATACTGTAAGCTGAAATATTATTTGTCACAACTGAACTGTCTATGAGTAGGGTCCTCCAGCCTTTTTATATACAATCGTAACTCTCTAACAATAAACCATGTGTAAAAATGGAAAAAACGTGATATATATATGTATATGTACATTTTGCAGTGTTTCAACTTCCTCAGCTATCTATTTATTTTACTCTATCAACTAAATATTTACACTATCAATAATATTGAACAGTTGGCTAATATGCGTAAAATGATGTGAACATACAGACGACTGGCGTAAAAAAAGGCGAATGCTCAAAATTCCAGTCGGCAATCTGTTAACAATATTCTTAAAGGTGAAACAGAATGTCATTGCAACGTTACACATCATCATACAACAGAACAGAGAATGGCAGTCAGCTCTTCATCTCAACTTCATAGATTTTAAAAAACCTTCGACAGCGTCAACCGAGAAGTAATTTGACAGGCAGCTGCTTCAACACTAATGATTTACTGCCGTAAACCTTTATCAACCTCAATGAACAGCTAACTATATAATGATGCCAAATGCGAAGTGATTGACAATGGAAAGCTGAATGATGTCTTTGAAGTGAAGATAGATTGACAGGTAAGATAAAGTTGCCACCTACTATCACCGTTGATGTTCCTGACTGGGGTGACTGGACTGGATTGGAAGATGCAAAAAACTGTGACGAGCGAGAAGATAGCCAGACACTATTTGACTGATGAAAACACCCTAGAAGATATAGATTTCGCCAATGATGATTTATGTCCTATGTCTAATGACTTATGTCACACAAACTGAAAGATGTACAAGCGAAAACTAACAAGCTGGAGAAGAGAAGAGAAGAGGTAAGCGGTGAAGGAAGATACGATTTCCTTCAGGTGAAGATTGAGAAGATAGAGGTGATGAAGATACACAGCAACAGCAACAGCAACATCAATAGCAACAGCAACAGCATTAGGAACAAGAAGCACGAATGACCATGAAGGGGAGAAATGTGAAGTGAGTTGTCTCTTTCAACTACTCACCTACACAGGTAACATCGTCTCATCTACAGGCGGTGTAGGCGGCACAGATGAGGATGTGAAAGCAAGGATCGGCAAGACAAGGAGACAACCGTTGAATAATCTGTGGAGATGAGTGTGGAGATCTACTGCACTGTACTGCACTGCACTTCACTTCACTGCACTGCACTGAACTCCATTGCACTCAGCATAAAGAAGAAGATGAGGATTTTCAACAGTGATGTCAGTCAATTCAGTGTTTGTGGTGTGATGGTTGAGAGAGTTGGCGTCTCACGAGAAGCATTTATTTCGAACAAACTGCAGACATACATGAATAGCTGCCGCCTACGCTCACTCGATACTGAAGATCAGATGAGAAGGGATGAGATGAGATGAGAAGGGAGGGGAAGGGGAGGGAGGGGAGTGGAGGAAGAATAAGCAGGGAGGAAGTGTGGCTTGCAACGAATCAACCAAGCAAGGAAGCAAGAATCTATTGTCCAACAAATGTGGTGAAGAAGAATGAGGTGTAGATGGATTGGATTGGATGGGATTGTATTGTAGATAGACAGAGAATACGGTATGGGTAGCCGTCGTGTGGGATGGAAATGGGAATGGATGGCTTGGGTAAGGGAGGGTGACATGGATGAGATGGTGTGAGTAAGTAATGGAAGTGTATGGGTAGTCGTGTAGCCAGGTTTAGAAGACTGGAGGGATGGGGTTTAATTGCAGATGAACAGTAATAATAATGTATTACGTCATAATGGAGTGTGGAGGCGTTTATAAGGTTTAGACGGGGAACATAATTTCGCGATCCTGTTAGCATGTGTAAGGTAGAAAAATTACCCTAGAAATTGATAGCAGTTTCTTTTTGTCTTTTTACATTAGGAATGTTATAAAATTGTTTAACATGTTGTTTTATCATTTCCGGCCTGTCTTATCACGCCTAACTTGATGATGGTCATAAGATGTGCGATGCCAATTAACCAGTCTAGTTTCAAGAGTTTTTTTTAATGTCCATTTATTAAGAAAGTGTCTGTTAACATTGAAGATTTTACAAGTAATGCAATTTTTTTGACCAATTTTTAACAACAATAGAGAGTATTACCAAATCGTCAACAACTATTATTGGAGAATCAGATTTCTACTGAGCTAAACCTGAAAATTTACCTGTTCGCACTGCATTGAATGACTTCATATTACATCATATATTATCTGAGACAGGCTTAGTTTGGCAGACTAGTATTTATATTGGGTGATGATTGAAGGTGAAATGAAAATTTGGGCTACTGCTGGATTCGAACCAGCGACTACTGGGTTTCCTGCCCGATGCTGTACCAACTGAGTAGTCCAGACTAGGCAGCCAGTGTTAATACGATCAGATGCTAGTAACGAATCACGAATTCACATGGTAGTCAGTCAAAACTTCGCTTGTAATTGAAGTGAAATAAAAATCTGATCAACCGTCGAACCTCGTATGTGAGTTGATAGAGCATGGGACCGGGAACCTGGTGGTCACTAGTCCAAATTCGGTTGCTCTTCTAATTTTCATTTCACCTTCAATCATCATCAAATGTAAACTAATCATTAAACACACTCATACACATTGTTGAAATGTTTTCACCTTATCGTTAGACAGTTTATAAACAAGACAATGTGTAGAAATATCACAGCAGATGTTAGTTGTCCACTAAACGCACAACAGTACATCATGTAGCTGTTATAGGAACACGTAACACTGGAACAACAAACTTTCTCACTGGTTGAATGAAAGTTCACTACCAACTTACATGCAACAACATACAAACTGGTTGATGGCCTAAAAACGACTGACTATTGTGCATTACTGCCTATCATAGTGCTATTATCAACATTATTAAATTGTCATGAGTTTTTTCATTTGAAAATATTGTAAAAGAAGTAATTTTATTGAGATATCACACTGAGAATTTCAAACTGTACTAAAAGTTATTATCTGGAATACAGTTATTATTATTATTATTATTGATTGTATTGTGTTCTCTGAGCTGGGTTGTTCAATCGTGAAGCTTTCATCGCTTTGCTAGACGACATCATCAGCACTAACTTCACTATGAAGTGAGCTGTCAATATCTCTCCGTCAGTGATTTAGTGGCTTGCTCTGACGATGTGGTCTGTGATTGGTTGTTTCTTTCGATTGTTGTGTGTGTGTCATTGATTGTATAGACTTTCCTGTTGGCTATTCCTCTGCTTTACCTCTCACCTTTCTGTTGTTTATCATTTTTCTTATTGGTTGATAGATGGGGTCTATGTCTATACATCTATTGATTGTTGACTGACCTGAATGCCAAGCTTCTAGGAATTCTCTGATGACATTCTTTGTGTTTCCTCTGTCCAAAATTTCTACATTGTCGAAATTGAATTTATGTCCATGGTTGTTATCCACGTGCATTGAAATGAGTGATGAAATGTCGTGGTGTTTAACAGCTAATTGGTGCTCATGTAGACGAAGGCGAAGAGAGCGGCCACTTTGTCCAATGTAGTGCTGACTACAGTTATTGCAGTTGATTTTGCAAATGATATTTGGTTTGTCTTTTTTGGTTGTTGCATCCTTTCGTCTGGATAATAGTGTTTGGAGGAAATTTGTTGGTTAATGAGTTGCCACACCAATTCGACCAAGTGGTCTCGTCAATCTTGTCCTGATTTCTGATATATTCTTTATGTATGGTAAAACGATGCGTTTGTTGATTTCTGTGGATGACTTTGTAGTTGGTGATGCACAGGATAGGCATCTTCTGATAAAGTTTCGTGAGTAGCCGTTCTTCTTTAGAGTGGACATCAAGTAATTTTCTTCATTGTTATGCTGCAGTATGTTCTCGCTCTTTTGAATAGAGTCTGCACGAAACTGATTTTTTATGTCATTGGGTTGTTGCTATTGTAGTCGACGATTTGATCAGTCACCGTGTGTTGGCTTCCTCTACACTTGGGTTTCCAGCTTTCCGACATTTTTCTTACTGACTAAAATATCCAGGAATGGTATTTGGTTGCTTGACTCTTTCTCCATTGTGAATTTGATGTCATTGAAAACGTTTCTGATCAAACTGTGGGTGTTTTCTATATCATCCTTTTTAATGATGACAAAAGTGTCGTCCACATAACGAATCCAAATTTTTGGTTTAATCACAGGTAGAATGATGACTTCTAGTCTCTGCATTACTGCTTCTGCAATTAATCTGGATATCGGTGATCCCATTGGAGTTCATTTCATCTGTTTGTATATCTTGCCATTGAATTGGAAGTATGTTGTCATACAAAGGTCGATGAGTTCCATCAGACTTGAATATTTGAGTTTGGTGAGTTCTAAAATGTTTTTGTCTTCATTCATCAGGAGGGATATCGTTTCCTTGGCCAATTGAGGTTTGAATCTCAGGATTAAACAACCCAACTCAGAGAACACAATAAAACCAAGAACATCCACCTGAGCTACAAATATTCTCCATTATTATTATTATTATTATTATTATTATGGAAATGCGAGTTTTATGAAGACGATTTTAAAACTGATGAGCACATATCATGGAATGACAACTGGTAATGTTATTTATTCAACTATCCATCAACTCCACATTATTTGATTTTATTGGGTGAAATAATAATTGGTGATATGTAGTGATTATACTTAGGGGTAACTTTGAAGGGTAACCTTAAAATT